CAGTAAAAGCCTTTCAAGCCAGGAAACTCCACCCAAACATGAATATATTGGTCATGTTTAGAGATGAGAGAGATCTTAACATCTCTATTATTCCACACCAGCCATATACCACCAGCAAAACCATTTGCTTCAACAACTATAGAATTAGAGAAACCCAAACTTCTAATTATTTTATTAGCTTTAGCACCACTAACTCTAGGTTCAAGTATAGCAGCCACACCTACACTATGCTTTCTATAGAATCTAGTAAAAGTACTCTTGAACTGTTTTTTGCAGCCCCCCTACAATTCCAAGTTAAAACATTCATGATTAAGATTGATTTAGTTGCAAGTTTTCTAAGTACTTGCTACTTAACTCTTGGTTAACAAAACATAACCCACTATTACCAGAAATCTCCTGATCACAAACAAGACTGCCATCAACATTCATAGAGGACAAAACAGAAACACCTGAGGTTTTATCAACTTCTATACCTGATTGGATGCCTTCCTCCTTGACTTCCTTAAGCTGGTCATGGTCAAAAGGATCCGGATCTTTCATAATTTCTTCAAAGATCACCTTTTCTTCTGTTATAAGACTAGCATTACTCTCCTCCAATGAAGTTTCAACTGCCATCATCAAATCTCCCCACATCAGTCCTTTACCCAACCCCTCATTAGTCGGCCTTTGCACAGGTGTAGGTACCTGCCCTACCAAATTACTGGCAATGGAATTATCAGTAGGAGACAGGATAGCAACACCCTTGCCATTACTACTAGTTTTCTTGGGGTTGTGTTTTCTGGTAGTCAACACAGGATTTTTAGCTCCTGTAAATTTCCTAGGATGGCTTGATGCAGCAGCCGCGAAGCTCATCCCCCCAGTTTCTGACTTGGTGGCACTTTTCAAATCCTCATTCTCCTTAGACATATTACCCTTCCTACTAGCTGCCATGCCTTGATGACTTGATGTCACTTTCGCAGACTGAACCTCATGAGACTTCATATCAGTCTTAGCAGCAACCTCCACTTCCTTAGTGTTACTCTTATTGGAAATGTATTCTCCAAATTTCCTACCAACAGTTGGTTCCTTTTTCTGATAGTTCTGCTGAAATCTTTTTCTTCTCTGGACCACCATCCAAGGACCTACTCCTTGAGTACACTGGCCTCCAACTGGTTTCTCAGGGACCCCCTCTTCCTTCTTGGTATAAACAGGTTTGGCATAGTCAGGGCATGAATCTGCATTATGTCCGTATTTCCCACATCGAAGGCATATTAGAAACAGTCCTTCATACTCCACTGTTTTCCTACATCCATCAAGAATGTATTCTCCTCTCAACAGCCTAGACAAATCCACCTCTATACAGACTCTAGCAAACCTGGCCCTGTCACCAGTTGATGTCGTTCTATCCACCTTAAGTACCTTTCCTATTACAGTGCCCAGTTGGCTGAGGAATGGATACTCGCAGTACTCCTGAGGTACACCAGGAAGCCTCACCCATGCAGCTACCTTATGTATGTTTGCCTTGTCCGGGTCAAAACACGGTTCCCACTTTCTAGTGGCAAGGTAGTGTCCCAAAATAATCCATGGACCACCAGTAATGGCCAGATTAAGATCTTCCAGCGAGCTAAATCTTACTGAAAAAAACTCGTTACCTAAGTCAGCCACAGTGATGCTACCGGATTTAGCCCAAAAGGATTCTAGCTTCTTCTTCATGAAGCCCACTCCTATTTTCTTCCCCAGCAACTTGACTATAAGAGCATTTCTCCAACGCTGACGCATCCTCAACCTTGCTTCCCTATTGCTTTTAATTTCCACGGAACCGTCTTCCCTGAAGATCGTCTGAAAGCCCCATTCGGAAATTTCACCCAAGCTTGGGTCCAAGGGTTCCAGATCTACGTCCTCTTCGCCAGCCAACCAAGGAATAGATTCCCCAGCCACACCATTTTCCGTTCCAGTGACATCAGCAAAAGACCTTTGTTTAGCTATCATCGGAGAACCAGCTTGGAACTCCTTCACCACATCCCTCATCCGAACCTCAGCCACAATTTCTTCCCCGTTCTTAGTTCTCTTAGTACTCTTCCTCTCCATACGCAAAGACTCAACACAATCATCAGGATCTTCCTCCATCGCAAACCCTCACAGAAAAGAGAAATCAGAAACCCTAGCACAACAGAAATTTTCGCGCGCGTGAGATAACGCGCCTCAAAATAACTTTTTTTAGAATCCAATCCAAACACAACGGGTGTTCTTTTAGTTTCGATCTAAAACTTTTCTATAACACAGAGAACACCAGTTTTCAAATTCTTCCCCTTTGCGGGTTTCAAATTCTTCCTCTTATGGTGCGTTGTTTTCTGCTGCTTTCCCATTTTGTTGAATTTTGTGCATGTTGCTGATGATGGGGCTTCTTGAGCTTGTGTAATATTTAAATGTTTCTGATAACTGCAAACGTTCTCGCTCTGTTTGATTTAACAATATATTCAAATGCTCTTTCCTACATTCTTAAATCTTGACTTTAGGTGGAATTGTTTTTAAAATGAATAAATAAGTACATAATACTGATGGTGGGGAATAAAGTAGGAACGATTGATTTGTATTAAGACGGAATAAAGGACACTTATTTGCATTTGGGTTGGGAGAGTAGAAGTTAGAAGTTGTGCGATTAATTTTTTCTTATTTTACTCTTTCTAGTTTATTTGTTTGTTTTTCCCCAAAGGAGGAGGGTTAGTGTTAGGTTGTTTTTCATGTAGATACTAAGAAAATAATTATTTTTATGAAATGAACCCGTTTTATTATTTGTTAGGGCATACCTTTCTTAGTAATGCATTGCGACAAAGCTTGGCTACAGCGAAAAATTTGCTCTGCTCCTTGTCTTAAAGCAAGGCACCACATCAGTATCCAGATATGGTGAATAGTGAGCTAGTATTCTCACATTTTTATGAGCGAGCGTTGTGGGCAAGAAATGCCAAGGGTAAGTTGGCATTTCTTGCTTGCAAGAAATTATTATGGTGAATATGTTATTGGGAAGCTGGAATATCGGGTAAGCTGAGGGAGATGTTTTTGTTAGAAGCAGAGTGAATATCGCTTGCAAGAGACTAAGTGTAGCAGAAAAGGCTAAAGAAATGGAAGGCACCAGATTCAAGCTGTGTTCCATAGGTACCAGTAAGAGTAAAACTAGAGTTAGGATCATGATTGATAGAAGTTTGAGTAAAGTTGTTGATATCATAGGAAAAGGGGACAAGACTATTTTGGTTAAGCTTATTATGAGTGATTTAATTTTGAATATCCTTAGTATGTATGCTCCCCAAGTTGGACTGCAAGTATTTGATAAGAATCGATTTTGAGACGATTGGAGAAGGTTTTAAAGGGGATACCACACGAGGAGAAGATTCTCATATGAGGAGATCTAACTGGAAATATTAGACAAAATAATGGAGGTTTTGACAGAGTTCGTGTACGTTTTGGCTATGGAACTAGAAATGAGTTTGGCAAAGATATCTTCACGTTTCCCTAGCTTATGATTTGATGTTGGTGAGCACCTTCTTTGGGAAAAGAGAGTCACATCTAATCACTTTTGGAAGCGGTTAGATTTTTAGCTAGATTGATTTCTTTCTTGCTATAAGAGAGGAAAGAGCCTTGTACGTAAAATGCAAAGTCTACCCTGGAGAATGCGTAGCCATGCCACATAAGTTGGTGGTTTTAGAGGTTCAGTTAAACAAAGTACAAAAAATGTGAAAAAATGCTCAGAATCCAAGACGAAGATGGTGCAAGTTAAAGGAGGAGAAATGTAGTTCAAGGAAAAAATGTTTCAAGAAGAACCATGACAATTAGATGGACAAGCAAATGCGATGTGGAACGAGATGTCTATTTATATTCAAATTGTGGCAAGAGGGGTGTTAGGGGATAGTAAATGAACAAACATCAAACAAAGGAAACTTGGTAGTGGAATGAAGAGGTACAAGAGGCAATTAAATTGAAGAAGTTCTAATGTTTGCATAAATGTCGTAATGATGAAATTTTGCAAAAGTTTAGATTAGCTAAAAAAATGCCAAGAAAGCAGTGCAAGAGGCTAGATGCAAGGTATTTTCCGATTTGTACAAAAAACTTGGTAGCGAAGAAGGTGAAAAAGGTATATAAGGATGGATAAGATAAGAAATGAAGATATTTACCAAAAGGTTGGAGTAGTACAAATGGTTGAAAGGATGAGAGAACATAGATTAAGGTTGTTTGTGCATATTATTCGAAGACCCCTATAGCCTCTTGTAAGAACCAAACCAAGAGTATGGCACGAAGAGAGGAAGAGTTCACAAACTTACTTGGTAGAAATAGTGTACAAGACGTAGTCAAGTGTGAAATATATATCGACGTACGATTTGTCTTAGGACGGATTGAAGAAAATCTATTAGCATTATGAAGGAGTAGACCTGTTATGTCCTATGGTTCAAGACGACCCTTTTAAATCCTTTTTCCCTATGTTTATTTATATATTTACTTATTTTTCTCTCTTATTTTTTATTTATTTATTTATTTATTGTTTTACTCTGTTCTTGCTTTTATATGGATTTATTGACTTCCGACTTCCATTAGTTTGCGATAAATGTGACACTATTGTCTTTGTATTAAAGGTGGGGAATGATTGATTAGGTGAGAATGGAATTAGTGATTATGAAATGCATATGTGCTTATTTTGTAAAACAGTCTACTAATAAGAAGCAAATTATGCAGTTTTAGGAAAAGTGTCATTCACTTTAGAAAAAAATGTGATTGAGAAACATTGTAGACTGGCATAATTACAAAATATATTGATTAAATAAATGCATACTTTATTTCAATTTTATTGATATAAATATGTGAGTTACTTGTTTGGCATGCAAAAGCTTATATGATTATTGGGTTAGTGGTAGCATACTTAAGATTCCGGTCCTCACAAATTCTGATTAGTTGAACTTATGATCAAGTTAAACTTTTTGAATGGGATTGTAGTTCTGTATTAGAGTATTTATTAGGGTGATTATTTTTTATAGATGGCAAGTCCTGGCATCTGGAGTCCTGGTAGATGGAGTCCTGAAGTGGAAAAGGTTTTTATCAAAGTTCTAGCTGATCATGTTAATAAAGGAGGGATTCATGATAACTTTGTATGGAAACTGATTTTGGATGAATTAAATATGAAAACTAGACGAAGTTTCTCACTGATACAAATCAAGCTAAAGTTTCATTGGTTAAGGATCAAGTATCATGCTTTTTCTGAACTCCTCCTTACCACTGGCTTTAGTTGGAATGTGGAAACTAACACTCTAACTGCTGAGGATTCTGTATGGCAAAGTTACATACAGGTATATCTTATTAGTTCTTATATTGAACGTGAGAATAGTTGGATATGATATTTACTTGCATATGGTAATGGATGATTATTAGCAAATTGTTCTTATCCTTGTTCCTGTAGAAACACCCTGAAGCTGCACCCTTTCGTAAATGGGGCTTCGAGCATTTTAAACTAATGGCTAATGTCTTTAATACAAGCACAACAACTGGTTTGCTGCATCATGCCTCTACCATAGATCTTCCAAACTCAGATGAAGAGCAGCTTGATAATGAATGTGTCAATGATAGAGTGCATGTAGATGTTGAGGATGAAGCTGTAACTACACATGCTGTTGAGCATACTACTTGTGGTGGGAAGAGAACCACTACTATGGCGGAATGCAAACCAGAAAAAGTGTTCAAGTCTACCCCAATGGGTGATGCTTTGCAAGCACAAGCAGATGCGTCTAAAGCAAGATTGGAGGCTTCACTTGCAAATGAAGGATATAAGTCCAAGAGTGTTGAGGCAACTAGTTCTGTTACGTCAGTTGATTGTTCTGTTGACTATTGTGTTGACGCATTAAATGAAATGGAAAATGTTAGTGATGATGCATATATAAAAGCCTTAGAGAAATTTACTAGCCATGAGTGGAGAAGGATGTTTCTGAAAATGCCTATAGAGAGGAAAAAAGCATGGGTAGAAAGGCTCTAATAGTGTTCTCCTTATTTTTTATTTTTTTCCGACCTTTGATCTTTGTAAGCTTCTTGTTACTTTCTGTTTTGGAATTATAATTTTCATTGCTGAAATCAAAGATAGTAGCACTGGGTTTGTTAGATTTCTTCGTGTGTTTCATAATGCTTTTTATAATTTCTTGATCCCATTCGCAATATATCAGCTTGATTATGTTATGACTTATGCCAGTCTTTCCTTTAGCAAGGGAACTTCGGAGGAGCATCGGAGCTACAATTTTGATTCTGCAATCAATGTAAGAAATCTGGTAGTTCCAAAGAGTGCATGTATGTTTTCATGCTGTTCTTTTTGAGTTGGAAAAATTTAGTTCTGTGCATTTTGTTGTCCATTGATTTTGTTTAGCAAAAGGCGTTCTGAGAATCCTTTCCTTTATAGCATATTTTAATGCTTTGTGAGTGCAAACTGAATCCGATGTGGTAAATATCTGTTTAGTTTTTCGTTCCCTATGAATTGCCTTGAAAGTTTGTTCTTCTTTGCTTAACCTAGTTTGCAATGTATCAAGATTTATAGGTGCCGTTGGAATGATGGAAGTTTATGCATTCAAATGGAGTTGTTCTTGTTTTGATTCTTGCTCCATGGTGTTGTCATTGTAATACTCTAACTCCTACATGAGAATTTGACTAAAATGAAAGGGAAATGCTTTTTTGCACCCAAGATTGTGTTCAGAAGTCTGAGCTGCAAAAGAAGTGTACAAAGTAAAAGTAGAGCATAAAGAGGTCTGCAAATTGAATGGCTTCCTTGCCACAATTGATTAGTTGGCAAGGTGTTGAACTGCTCATAAATTAAATGCATTTGCAGTTCACAGTTGCCGAGATTCTCTTCTGAAGCTGGTCCAGTAAGCTATTGCACATTTTTTGTTGTCAGATTCCCTCCCTATAATCTATTGTTAGAGATTTCAATACTTTCCTTTCCCAGTTGCAAAGTCAACAAACTATTGGTAAGGGAAGGAAATGAATGATATGAATAAGACAAGTTAAAACCCAAAGAGAATAAAAAAAATAATGGCAAATGTAACTCCAGCAAGTAAAGAGAAATCACAGACTTTAAAATGCATTTTTTTTTTCAGCAAACCTACCGTTTGGATGAGTAGGTTTTCCTAAGCATCATGCTCCTTATCGTCTTGCACTAGCTTATTGGCTTGGGAAACAAGAAATGAAGAATAAAAAGTTTGAGGTTTAAGACTTTAGAAGATGGATAAAATGTAGGTCCAGCAACTTTGACAAGGCTAGCAAATGTCAATGAGAGTGTAGAAACTTTGAGATTTTCAAAATCTAATCCCAAATTGAAGAACACTTTGATGATAAACCATAAAGTGGTAGGAGCATTTTATTAAAAGCGGATCGGTTACACAATTAAATCAGTATCAATCTGGTGAATCGGCAATGAACCGCGGGGTGGGAGTCGAACGCTCTTCATGGAAATAGAAAGAATAACAATTACAACTAAGTTACACTGTTGTTAATTAAGACCGCACCATTTAATATATTTATTATATAATTTAATTTAACCTGTTGAATCAATAATTTATTGATCTAATATCTCGACCGAGTCAATAACGAGTTCGAGTTTAATAACATCTGCTCGGAGAACAAACAATGTACTTCTCAGTTCAAGCTTGATCCATCTGGATTTCTTTGGCTGAATCACAATATTAATGTTGAAACTACTTTAAGGATTTGGTGCAGCATCTCCTTAAGTCTTTAGGGGAACAAGATGAGAGGTATACTAACAAGATACACTGACATTTAAGTCACAATTTGTCTAAGTAAAATGGAGAAGATGATGTACCTTGGGACTTGCATACCCTTATTTATAGTATGCGAGATCATGTTGCTTTGAGGTTCTTGAGAATAGTCTCAACAAGTGGGTAAGGCTGTAGAGTCTCCCCGTTGGCTTTGGACAGAGGTGGCATGAGATAACTTGGAGTCCTGTACTGCTATTATCGAGGTATCAGAGCAGTTGCAGACATCAGAATAGTATTGTGTTGCTTGAAAGTGCTTTTTTTTTTTGGGTACATAAAAGTGTTTTTTTCATGGTAAAGAATTAAGGATTGGGCTTTGGATATTTTGTGCAATGGACCTGATATATTGGTCCAGAACAATAATATTTCTCCAAGGAGGAAACATCTTTTGAAGTTTGAAATGAAAGCCTGAGATTTTCCCAAAGGGGTGGATCTGAGTACCTTTACGTGATATATTGGTCACAACAAATAGCATGCATCGCAGTATATCATTGCTATAAAGCTACCCCCTGCTTCAATATTGTGTAATGTGATATTTGTGAGTAAAATATTTGTTTCAATTATATGAGTGAATGATTTGCTATATCAAACTACATAATTGAGCATCAATTTTCTCCCGTCTCTCAACCGTTAAAGGGGAGATTTGGCATAACGGTTACTGTTGTTGCCATGTGAAATTCACTGGTTAGTATATGTAATCAATCTCTTGCAAATACAAGGTGAGATTACCTAAATACTAGAAAGCACCGACACACAATTTTTTTTTAAAATGCGTGTTGGACATCGACATGAGATCAACATTTTTTTTTTTAGATTTAAATTTTATTTTATCTTTTTAATTAAAAATGAAAAATTAATTTATAAATCTAATATTTTCTGTTATGAAATTTGACTTGAGAAATTAACAAGGCATGAAATTTTATTTTTGTTTTGTATTTATGTTATGGAATTTGAATATTTGATTAATTACATGACTTATTATGAGCTGCTATATGTATTAAATATAAACTATATTATATATATTAAAAATATTATTTAATATCAAAACGTGTCCTAACATATCAAAATCTAACATTTCTAATATTTTAAATTTTTTAATATTTTTTAGAATTAACGTATCGGAGTATCATTTCGTATTCCGTGTTAGTACAACATAGCCTAAATATAAACGCATAAAATAGATCTGACCCTTCCCTCGACCAGCACAGAATGGGAGCTTCATATCTTTAGGATGCGCTTTTATCCTCGTCCTTCTTTGTCAAATGTTCAGCATACCCCTAACCTAGGAGCCATAACTTATTGTTAAGCGCTGATGCAACGTAGTTGCTTCACCCAGCTTGTCTCTGCCGATTCCGGAAAAAAGAGTTGGTGAACATGGGAGTATTGCCATAGTCCTAGATCTTTTACTATTCCTAGTTTCATTATATCATTGTGATTATTGTAAATATTTTGTTTCCATATATTATCATTATTTTAGGCAAGTAATTATTTAATGAGTTAACTTTTTCTACAATTACTGCTGATAAGTTATCTGCAGTAAGCCCAATATAATATCATTTTAGAACAAAAATCATGTTATTTTTGTAATTTTAATTTATTTTAAGATTATTATAGTCTTTATAATTATAATTTTTTAATATTTTAATCCCAAAATGAAGTCGTTTTGAAAGTAAATACAGATAACTAATCTGCAATAACTACAAAAATATTTTTCTGTTATTTAATTTCATATAAGTAATTTGTTATTAGGTAGGTAATTATGCTCTATAGATTACAAATCTATATACAAGATTGTTCAAGCAAAAATATACAAATTTCCACGTATTACAACTCTACTATGAGCAACGGTAGTTGAATACTTTGACCCGTACATAATGTCAACCTTTACACCCCCAAATACAACACAAAGGATATCTTCTGTATACTACCATACTTCCACATACAACTTTGCTTTGTCTTTCAGAACTGTATATTGAGCTAGCAAGTTTTGCTTGACTCAAGAATGGACTTAGCTAGCCACAATAATCCAGGATCATCCCGCTTCAGCACCAGGTAAGCTTCTTCCTTCCCAATATCGTCAAACATAACATCTTCGCTGAAGCCAACCAAAAAGAGAATTTCCAAGGCAGCTGTAGCAGTAAAAATTGGAAAAAGTTAGCAGCCCAAATTTGAGCATATACAATGTTAGCATAAGCTGCTGCAAAAAGTTGTTAATTTAACAAATTTTAATCATTGCTTTGGCATTGCTATCTAGAAATACAGCACGTCAAATGATATATTAGTTCTAAGTAGCCTATTATCAGGTTTTCGCCATTCAAATTTTACCAGAATCACAACAAACCTAATATCTAGGATCTTTCAAAAATATTGCACATAGGAAATTTGATGTGTCTGTATGGCAGTTTAACAATATGCAAAATTTATATCAAAACCCAATGGTCAGAATATGCAAACCTTTATTTTTTAAGATATCCCTCTCAATGACCGGATTAGCCTGCAAAATTCATTATGTAGAAATAGAAAATTTTAAGGGAAATCATAGGATAAAGAAATATCCCAGGCAGTATGACAAAAGGTAAAATAGATTACCTTTCGCAATCTCTTATATTTTGTCACCTCAGGGTGTTCAATCACATTCCTGCAATCAGATGGCAACAATGATAAATGGAGAACATAATCCTTAGTCATGACTACAAATAGAATTACTTATTTTCTGGAACTTTTTAAACCTAAAGCCTTAAAGCGAGAGCATGTCCATTCAACAATGACAACTCAATCTTCTTCTGTATAAGCATACCTAATTATTTTCAAGAGACTTTGGAGGATTGAAGCACTTTGCAATGGACTAGCTTCACTTCTTAGCATTTCCAGGGCCTTCGACAATCGGTTGCAAACAGTAGTCACGGAATCATTGATCCTCTGAAATTCTTGGTCATCAGGATCTGGCTCATCAGTTGGCATTGTAGATAATTTTGATGTGGGGACTGCATCATCATCGGGATCAGGTTCTGCCATCACATTTATTTCTGCATAAGATTCATCAACAGAAGATTCTTTATAAACATGGCTTTCATTAACCTGGCGTCCAACATCTAAGGATTATATGGAACCAACTGAATCAAGCAATATACTGTTTCCATGTTTTAAATTGTTCTTTTCTGTTTCCAAGACATCAATGTCAGGTTTATGAATGCCAATCCTTGAAAGAATATATGCCTATTTAGCTACTCATTTCTGAAGAACAATTACCTACAGCTGGAGCAATAGACTTCAAAGATGTTTCTGAATCATCTGGACAAGGTTCTTTAGATACATATGTTGCACCCAAATTCACGGTACTTGTCTGAGCATGCAAAATATGTGCTACACCAAAATCAATAGGCTTTTGTTCAAATACAGTTCTGCTATCAGTAATTCCTAAAACAACATCACAATCAACAGCTTTTACCATAACAAGAATCATCTGGATCAGGCTCATGCTTCATTCCATTGACAATATGATCATCAGGGTCAGGCTCACCATTAAGTCCTTTCTCAACAATGATGGGCATGTCAATGTCTATGATTTCTTTGGAGGCAGATGTCATATGATCTGGTTTTTCACTCATATTCAAACTAGAATAATCAGGATCCAGCTCTTGATTTGCTCCAGACTCTCCTGACTTGTTGGCAGAAATATTAGCCATCCGATGGTAAGCAGCAGCAACTGAAGATTCCCGAGCATTTAGTACCTGACCTGTCCTGTTACCTCCAAGCTTCTGAGAAATATTTCTACTGTCTGCTATAAAATCATCTTCATAGATTTTAGAATTCCTTACTCCACTCAAAGTGTGACTTGCAGATCTAGTCCAATCTAAACTAGCAGCTTCTTGATTTAACTGCCAAAGAAACAAATTAAATCAACATTCGGCACTAAATCGAAGCATAATAATGGACTGAGAGCCAAACACTCAAGCATGTGCTTCCACCTGCTTATCCAGAGCATAAAAGTTTGCATCATGTTCAGAGTATATCATGTGAGCCTGAAATAAAACAGAAGTTAATTCGGTAACTTTCATTTTTAAATACACAACTGTACTTTATTTTTTTTTCATTTAAAATACTTAAGGATCAAGAAAAAACCACGACAGTTGTGGTGCATGTTGTATCTTACGAGTTCATGCAGTAGAGTTTTCTTGATGCTTTCATATTTCCTGAAACCTTTGAGGTCATCAGTTCGAAGACGCAATGATATTTCCTCTCCTTGATTCTGTAAACAAGAATGAAAAGAAGAAGAAAAATCAACAATGGGAAAATGCTGGATGCTTAAAACGTTATGCTCCCTCATCCTGAAGAATACAATACCTTGTTAAAACCAAGAATGCATTTTGGGCTCACACCAACATAACCGACAGGAGCCATCTCAGTCATAATTCCTACACGCCAACGATGCTATAAGATGCAAATTGAACATTTGTCAGAACATGCACCATATTGCCATTATGGCAATCATATATTACCAATGAAAAAGTTCATTTGTTTGTGTGTACCTTGTTCATGACAGCAACAATTCCAGGATCAGCAGCAAGCATGTGCATTATTTTCAGTGCCTCAGGAGGTGGAGGATTCAGCTGAAGATAATGGAAAACAAAATTCATCCATGATCAGTTTACAATTAAAACTTTTACATCATGAGATGGTCAGCAAAGAATATGATGGAAAATCATTAATAATTAACACTATAAGTTAACAAAAACAAAGTGTCATGCATAGGCTACACTTTCACAGTCCAAAAGCAATGTATGATTTTTTTTTTAAAACCAAAATCCCATATCACTTCTTCACTAGTAACAAAGTAAATGCAGAAACATAAGGAGCTATAAAGAATAAATATCAGAGATGCATGATTCTTTGCTTGAGCACAAATATTAATAATCATGTAGTAAATTAAATACCTCTACTCCTGGAAGTTCAAGTGTGCGAAATTCACAAAATATATAAGGCCCTTGTGGAAGTTTTGGTGAAGGACGAGGTCCATGTGAAATTCTCTGTTTCAGTCTCTTTTCCTCATACTCAAATCCAGCTATTCTTAAGTTCGCTTTTGCATTGTGTAAAACTTCTTCAACCTCATTTTCTGACACACCCATCATTTTAATTGACCTGGCCTGGAGATAAAAAAGTAGTAACTTAGGGGAACAATAAGCCAATTATTTTAGTGAACAAATCCACCATTTCCAATGTTAATATAGTGCTAACTACAAGCAAAATTTGAATGAACAAGAAGGACTTTTTATTTGAAAAAACAATTCAATGAATCCTTATGAAGAAATGAATTAGGATAAGAACAAAAGGATCACTGTCGTTACATTCTAAAGTAAATCCTAGCTCCTCAACAGAAAGGCTAATCAGAAGAGAGTGATAATACTTGACCATTAATTCAAATAACCTAACATGACATACCAAGTTCTTTTCATATTTAAAAACTGAGTGCAATTGCAATATAAGATTGAAGGAATAAACATACTATAGCCGGAAGAATAGCATATAAAGAGAACCACAGCCACTCAAGTCTGCTAAGAATATGTGTCCAAGAACCACTTGGATATCATGGGAATAGAGGTTGTCGCTGAGCACTCAATGAAAGCTTAGTTCAAGTAGGATAAATCATAAATATTTAAAATTGTATTTTAGAGAAATAGATCGCAAAAGTATTATCAAATTATTAGGGAAGACCAGCTAACATAATGCGATGTTTTCTAGAACAATAAAAACTAAACTTATGTGAACCACACTAAGAACCACAACTTCTAAAATCTTAATCCATATTATAAAGTATATGTTAATGATAGTACCTCAGTAATGGAAGTTTCCTGCAAACTTAAATGGGAATGCTCCATAGAAAAGGGAGCCAGCAGTTTCGAGGTTCTGCCAGAAATCTGTGGAACAATGAGCCGCATGGTATCTTCTTTGACATTTGTTAATTTTTGCAATTCCTGCCCCAGATCCTTCACAGTGGCACTTACATTCATCTCTGCAACAAACTTCTTTCCCCTCCATGTAACAGAGATGTTGAGCATGCTTGATGCAGGTTGCATGTTTGATCTACAAGAATCAAAACATGTCTTGTCATTTGCCAATGATTATTTATTGTTGGTGGTACAACCAGTGCCCCAAAAGGAATCCGAGACACCTAACATATATATAGGTGGACCCCTTAAAGGTGAACTTTCCATGTAAATTAGCTCCAATAAAAAGCTTTAAAAATTTTCCCCTTCCCCTTTCCAATATTCTATCTTACTCCTTAGCTCTTTTATTATGAGCCCAATCCCAGAACCATTTCGTCCTTTTAGCATTTGTGCCAAGATTTGAGTGTAAATACTTAGGGAATTTTTTTAACTAAAATAGTAAGATTCTTACAAGGGCACGTCCAAAACTCTATACGAACGCAGCCAGGGATCCCCACACAAGGAAATTCTCACAAATTCATAAAGTTAACTTAACTACTACTTCATATAAACACATAAACAACCAAATTTTGAGGAAAAATCTAAGCACACCAACAAACCAAACTCAATATGAGAATCCGTAATTCCACAAAATTTCAAAAGAAACTCTCAGCTTCAAAAAACAATTTCTTGAAATTAAAGAATCCCATATGAGAATCTGCAATTCGATACCATCGTTAAACCACAAACAGGTAAAATGAAAAAACTAAAAATAAAAATAAATGAACCATAACAATTTTGAAACAAAATCAGCTCCAAACATTGATAAAAAAAGAAAAAGAAATCACAATTGAAATTGCAGCATCAAATAATGAAGAAGAAAATCGAATTACCTGAAGGTAAGGAGCAGAAGAAAACGAAGGTGAAAAATGAAAAATTGGAAGTAAGGGCGAAGAAAAAGTGAAGGAAGGTCAATGAAATAATTGGAAAACTTGGGCGGAAGATGGACGTAAGCGCTGACGCACGACCCCACCAAATCGAAAGTTCCAGAATTATTTTGCATTGCATATGGCATTGGCTACTAATTATCAATCTTTTCATTGGAGCAGACGAAATATATAATGTATTAAAACTATATTATTAATTTAGTATGTACATATTAATGTTTATTTTAACACTTTTTAAAAAGTAATAGATAATTGTAGAAGAAATAAAAAAAAAAATTTGTAAAATTAAAAAAAAATGTTATATTTACAAACTCTTACAAATTTACCTATATATGAGTACTAACAAAATTATAAATATAACATGTCCCAATTAAAAATTAAAATTAAAAATTAACTAATTTTTTTTAAAAAAAAATACGTACTTTACAAAAAATATATATTTTACAATAACTTCAAAGAAGGATGTTAAATATCTTTAATTTAGATCGCATTTGTCATCAAATATTAAGAAAGAGGAAATAAGAATAATTATATATTTTTTAACAATATTAACAATTGATTATGAATTAATTATTTTATATTAATTACAATTTTAAAAACTATTTGAATTGCTCTTATGATTTTGAGTGGGAATAATAGATAATGGTTTTGAGGAACTTTGACAGTAGACAAATGAAAATAAATGTTAAAACATAAATTAACTGTAGAGAATCAATTTCTGATAAGAATTAAAACAAAGAATCAAATACACACGATTCAATGAATCAAAGAACCTGGCAGTGAAAAGTAAACAAGCACAGGTCTTTAATGGCGACAACAAGGTCGACTGGAGACAACAACCACGCATAGGTCTGAAACATTGACAGCAAGATCGACCACCGGCAGTAAATGTGCAGAAGGGTTGGCACGACGATGGTGGGTGACAGACAGGGCTAAGACGACACGTGAAAGGGATGTGTGTGGAAGATAGTCGCGATGGAACGGCGTGGACGCAGATGAGGCAATCTACTGTGATGGAGAGGCGAGGCTTGACCGAAGGAGTGGGAGAGGGTAAGAGAAAGGGAGAAAGTCATAGACATAAAGAGAAAGAGACGTACATGTATACGACCTCTCGAACAAAGGTTGTGAGCCTCATAAGCCTTGCTCCAACTTGGTGGTGAAAATCCGGAATCTGATTAATCGTTCCTGGAATGTGGTATTATCCCACTCTTTTAGGGAAAGCAACACGGTTGCTAACTGGATGGCAAATAGCTCCCTTGAACAAGGCTGTATCCCGTTATTGATTAACGATTCAGCGGGTGTTTCTACTCCCAGGCTTGTTAGCCTGTAATTTTCCTTTTGTTCCTTCATTTTCAAAAAAAGAAAGACATATATATATATATATATATATATATATATATATATATATATATATATATATATATATATATATAGGGTTTTACTACTTGACGTTTAGAAAATAAATTCGGAAAATCATAACAATCAATCTTACCGTTGATTGTTATGATTCCTCAAATTTATTTTTTGAACATCAAGCAGTAAAGGCTATATATATATATATATATATATATATATATATATATATATATGTATATGTATGTATGTATAGGTAAAATCATATCTAAAGTTGTTGTACGTGCAGCAATGACAGGTGTATGGTTATGATTCCCCAAATACTTTAACCTATATATATGAAAAATTTGTTACTGCTATCTTTTTTTGCATTGAACGGAGATAAGTTATCTGCATTGAGCCCAAAATAATATCATCTTGGGCGGAAATCAAGGTATTTTTGTAATTACAATTTATTCTAAGGTTATAGTAGTTTTTATAATTATCTTTTTTTAATCTTTCAACCCAAAACGACGTCGTTTTGAGAATGAATGTAGATAAATTATTTGCATTCACTGTAGATAACTTTATCGGTGTTTCAGACCTATGCGTGGTTGTTGTCTACAGTCGACCTTGTTGTTGCCATTACAGACCTGTGCGTGTTTACTTTTCACTGCCAGGTTCTTTGATTCATTGAATCTTGTGTATTTGGTTCTTTGTTTCAATTCTAACTAGAAATTGATTCTCTATTGTTAATTTATGTTTTAACTTTTAATTTCATTTGTCTACTGTTACTTTTTATTCAGAAGACAATGGGTTAGAGAAGAAGACTTGACAAAGGACATCAAATTGCATACGAAACAACTTCATCGAACTTTGCGGTTCTTTGAAGAAGAAAATATCACCTTGTTTCAGGATGGTTTAAATGCAGATAGACAAAGGCAGTGACAGTTTCTAGAGTAAGTGCTGTTGAATTATGAGCAAGAAAACATTTGACTTGTTTCAGTATTTTTTCCCAAAGCCATTCTTGCATATACTTGATACATGAAATGTATCCATTCCATTCCCCTATAAATCCTCTGTACTAATGTGATTATGTAATTCTATTGTATTTTAACTCTCGGATGTAATTACGTTATGCACATTGTTTATTTTTTTCTCTTGTTAGTGAGTATCAAATGCTAGTCCATTCTTATTCTTTCTCTTCATTTTCTTCTTCCTTTTATTTCTTTATTGACTATCAGGATTCAAGTGTCAGATTCTTCACAATGACTTTGGTTATCTAGGATTTTGATATCTGTAATCACAGTGATTTTAGCTATCAATTTATTGGTTTGTTGGATTTTGGAATTCTTTTCCATTGTGAAGATTCTAGACTTGGGCCATAGCGAATCTAAGTTTGAGTATCCATGTGTTGCTTATATTTGAAAACTTGTTAATTAATTGTAGTTGCTTTTTGCAATTGAAGAAATTTAAATATATTTAGCATTCGATTCAATGTCAGGTTTATGTTAATGTTTACTCAACTTTTTGGTCTACTGGGAGTAGGCTATATATCAGTTAAATTATTGAAACACAACATATCCTCCACTGGCACTTGATGTTTAGATTTACTCCTCATGGTAAAAATTATCTTTGTGGCATTGTTTTCTACATGTACGAGACATGTTTTTGACCATTTTGAATTTTGAGGTCTTAAATACTTTCAGCTGTGAATTTCTTAACAATTATCTACGAACCTTTCACTCCTACACGACTTAGGATCTATCACGCTATAATTTATGTTGCTTTCGTATCATACTGGTCTCTTGAATATTTTGCCAGAGTTGTTTGTTAAATTACGCTTATATTACGCTGCTACCTTCTCTGTAGCACAACCTATTGTCTTCTTTATTTTTTCTTTGGGAGAAAGGGGTGGAGAGGAGGTTGTTTACATATTGCTTAGCTTCTTGATCATTTATTATCTAGCGGGTATTGTGTACCACAAATAATTAGATTCGCTATGCTATCTTATTTTTTTTTTAGTGAGAACACCTTTTATGTTGAAAGGTAATATGAGTTTTACAATATTGATCCTTATAATGTCAATATGAGTTTTACAATATTGATCCTTATAATGGCTATTGACTGCTGATAGTTGATATCATTGTTAGGAGCCGTGTAAAACTTGAGATGGGGATATCGAAGTTCATGTAAGAAATCTGCTAGACTAAGTAAATTAGATATTGTTTTCTGTCTTAATGTTGTTAGCGTACAAATGAGTGTAAGGTCCAAACCCTACACATTATTTTCTTGTCTCATTGAAGTCAAGTTGGCATACTATCTTAGATAAATGTACTTTACATATGAAAGACAACATCCTTGGAAAGGACAAGTTGTAATAACATGAAGTTGACAACTTGAAATGCTAATATGCTAGCTTAAATCAACAATCAAATGTAGCTTGCCAAGAATTTGAAAGCACTCTTTCTATCCCCTTCAGTTAATGTCCGATGAGAATCAAAATTATAGATTGGAGCAAAAACATCAACATGTAAAAAGGCAGTAAATCATAATGGCAGCAACAACAACAAAAATAATTGTCTTTTAAATAGCAATTGGTAGCATTAGCAAATTATCATGGATATAAGATAAGGCAACACATCTGCAACATATAAATTGGAGAGGTTAGTTCCTGCAAGACAAGAATAAAACATCATGCCTTTTAATACACACAGGATATGTGGTAAATAAATTTGACGAAGCTAACATCTGCCCATTCCTCATTACTCTCACAAAACATCATCATCTAAGGCTAAGCTATGAAGAACAAAAAAGATCATTTTGCATGTCAAAAAACTAACATTATCTTCTGATGTACTCTTATCATCTTCTTCTGGCATAAGAAACATTTCTTTTCTCAGCATAGACAGAGTTGTTGACAGCAAAACGGGGAACTTAGTTTTGTTTTACTCTTTATTGGTTACTCTTTTGTCAAGTCTTCTTCTCTAAGCCATTGTCGTATAAATAAAAATTAACAATAAACAAATGAAATTAAATATTAAAACATAAATTAATAGCAGAGAATAAATTTCTGGTTAGAATTAAAACAAAGAATGAAATACACAATATTCAATGAATGAAAGAACCTGGCAGTGAATAGTAAACATGCACAGGTCTGTAATGGTGGCAACAAGGTCAGCTGGAGACAACAACCATGCACAAGTATGAAATGCTGGCAGCAAGATCGACCACCGGCAATAAATGCGCACAAGGGCTGGCACGACGATGGTGGGTGATGGGTAGGGCTGAGACGACACACGAACATAATGTGTGGCAGATGATCGCGATGGAGCGGGTGGACGCAGATGAGACAATCTACTGCGATGGATAAGCGCGACTTGATAGGAGGAGTGAGAGAGGGTAAGAGAGAGGCCGAATTTCATAGATGTAAAGAGAAAGACACGTGAGACAGGGTGGAATTGAAAAATTAATCAGAACCATTGATGAATAAATTAATCCAACAGTAATTAATTGTTTAAAAGAGTTTGTAAAATATTTACTTTGCCAATATAACCCACCTTATAACACCTCAACCCTCATAAATAAAATTAGTAAGATTAATCATAATTATTATGAAATTTTCATGAATAATTAAGAGATTTCATTAATTATTC